AAAGAAATCCAGAAGATTAAAAATCATACTGAAAGCATAGGCAACAGAGCCAAATAATATGAGGACAGAATTTAAGAACTAGAAGACAATGATGGCTTCGATAACTAAGTATATAAAGATACCTTGAAAGCAAGAGAACATGACAAATAGATCCAACAATTACTAAATGATGCAAAGAAGACTAATCTAAGAATAATGGGAATAAGTGAAAAATCAGAAGACAATGCAAATGGCATATAAAATGTATTCATAGAAATAATGGCAGAAAACACCCCAAATATAGAAAAAGAAATATACAGATAAGTGAGGCAAAAAGAACCCTAAACAACCATAATCAAAGGTGAGCCTCTCCACACCACTTTATACTCTAAGTACCAGAAGTCTTCCTGAGGGACAAAATCTTTTATTAAAAGTTGTTAACAGAAAGGCAACAGAACCCTTTAGAATTATAGGAGACTCAACTACACAATAGCTAAAGGTGAGGAAAGCTTTGAGTAAAGTGTTTCAAGCCTAAAAGATCACAACTAATGATTTATGCACCCTGCAAAACTTTCATTTAAAACTGATGGGAGAAATAAAGATTTCCATGACAGGGAACACTTCAAGAAATTCATGACCCGGCCAAATAGTTCAGCCAGCTAAAGTGCCTGCTTATCAAAGTGCAGAGGCCGGGGTTTGATCTCTGGCCTGCCATGCCAGCCCCATCCCCAGGGCTTGCTGAGATGGCAATTGAGATTGGGAGTGGTGGTACACACTTGTAATCCCAGCACTTGGGAGGCTGAAAACAGGAGAATCACTATGAGTCTGATCTATGTAGGGAGACCCTGTAGACCCTGTCATAAATACAGAAAAAAAAAAAAAAGGAATTCATGACCATCAAACCAACATTACAAAACATTCTCAAGGATGTCCTAAGAGATAATAATGCCAACAATGACAATAAGCAAAAAAGAATTAATATACTAAGCAAAAGCAGAAAAAAAGGAAACCAGCAAAAGGAAAATGATGCAATGACAGTGTTACAGCTTATACTAGATGTTCCCCCAAATCCTCATACAGTCATAGTTGAGCAGTTTCAATGGTGGCTGGATTAAGGTATGTGATGCTGGAATCAAGGATGTCCCATGCTAAGTGCGGGCAGCACCAATCAATAAACTTGTAGCCAGGATGGAGTAAAAGGTAGAGAAGGTAGTACCTGTTTTTGGTGCTGCCTCTTGCC